TACTGATATGCTCAGGTCGGAAATCTTGAAAAGCTGGGAAAGACGCTAGTGGAAGTGTGTTCTGAGATCGTGAAAGAGATGGAAGTGGACGAGGCTAAGTTGAAGTCAAAATTGTGATGGGTGATATTGTGGGCGTCTGTTCAAACTCTTAATAAGAGCCCAAAGCCTATCGTGCAATTATTAATAAGCTTCAACCTTGCCTTGGTTCCAACATAGTTCAACCTTCGGTAATTGTTTGCTGATCACCCCGACCTCGGCTTGCTCTCAGCTAGATAATCGGTTGTCTCAATAGATAAGGGAATATTGCTTTATTCAGAATTTTCCAGGCTCCAAGATCATCGACTGTGGTGATGTCCCAGTCAATCCATTTGATAACGCGCTCGCAGTCGACCAGATGGAAGTCACATACTCGACCTTACTCTCGCGTCACACTCATGCAAAGTCCGGGCTCAGCACGCAAAACCTTGCCTTGGATGGGGTCGACCATCCGCAGATCGTCAGGTTTTAATATTTACATTGTGTTTATTTCCAAAGCTGACTGAAGCCTCTTCCCAGTCTGGGTGGGGATCACACTATCGTGTGGAATTTCTGCCTTCAAATTGTGGGGCGTTGGGCAAACATGCTCCAGTACACTGCTCTGACTCATTTTGACGTGCACCTCGCTTGATCCTGATTTGAGGCTAAGCCATTCAAAAACCTTTCTCTCCAGTCTGTGACATCCTATTCTGAACAATACCCCTCTTCTATTCAAAACCTTTCCTGTGTTTTTTTTCGAGTTTCCTGTGCCGCACAAGCCAATATATCTACTTTGAATCTTACACAAAACAATCTCTGCATCTTGAACTCCTCCTTCTATGGTAAGTCTTTTAAATGTCTTCTGCACAATTTCCACGTCCCTGGTATTCACTTACATGTGGAATGTTCTCTATCTTTTCCTGCTTTTTATCTGCCATCTCACTTGAGAGATTGCTGAAAGCCATTCAGAACATCTCCGATGAATATTTCCCCTGTTCCATCCAATCTTACTGTGGTTATACTTGAGACTCGCCCAGTATTTTATGCAAAAAACATCAGTATCTTTCCCAAATGTTCCATCGTATTTGACTCCTGAATTTCCTTGAATTCTACCCTGAAAAAGTCTAGAAAACATCCTGTGACATATCACAATCATCCCCAAATGTTCCGCTGCAATTCATGCAGAAGATATTCAAAACATCTTCCAAATAACCCATGGTGGGAAACCCCCAAGAAACCGTGAAGAATACCTTGAGCATACAGAGAATTCATCACAGAGATTACCGGATATCCCATGCCGATATATTAGGTAAATGTGTTGAAGATTACGCTGAACACATATGAAAGTTGTTTAGAAGATTATTCAGGTCCTTGATGATAAAATACACAGAAATCATTTTATACATTTTAAAGGTATTGGCATTTGTAAGACCTGAAGATTACCCTGAAGACATCATGAAACAGATGTCGAACATACATGGAAACCATCAAAGACGTCTCTGGCATGTTCCATGATTCTATATCTCAAATAAAGTTTGAAATTTATCTGGGTTTTCTACGGTGAAAAACGGCTAAATTATTCAGACTAATCCTCAGGTATTTTTGAAGTGTTCCTTGATGGGTTTTGGTGATATGGGCCTTGTGCTAGTTGCTCCCTTGCAAACTTTCACGCATCGGAAACCACCGAGCGTATCTGGTTCTCCTAGTCGAGGTCGTGGATGTAGTGTTTCTACTCGGGCGAACGCGATAGCTTCTGGTTCTGTTTCTTTGCCTAACATGTAAAACGAACCGAGTGATCTCGGAAACCCAGTTTGAGACGGAAACAACACCGAACTCTTCTTCTGATCCAATAACGACCATGCCTACTGTTCAGGGCTTTAAAATACCCACGGCTTGGGATTCAAATCGTCCCAAGTTCGATGGCGAGACTGCCAGCAGTCTCAAATTGTTTCTTAGAAACACCAAGCAAGTGTGCGATAGTGGAGGAATCGACGGCGAACAAGAACAGAAGAAGCTTCTGCTTAATTATCTCGATGATAGCGATATCAGAGAGCAATGGCAGAGCCTCTCCATGTTTGCGGAAGCTGAAGGTTCGACGTATAAGAAATGGCGGAAACAAATCTTGCGGTTGTATCCCGAAGTGGAGGACCAGGAGGTTGGGTCAATTCAGAAACTCCAGGACATATGTGCGTCAGCGCGTCCTATTTCCCGCCCTGAACTCGGGAAATTGCGCCGTTTCCAACTAGCGTTTTAAACGGAAGCAGAGAAACTGAAGAAAGGACCTTCAGCCCTGCTTGTGAACCGGACGTTAGTCGACCTCGTCCTGTCTGTGTTGGAGGATGGCTATAGCCAGGAAGTGGAGGTAGCCATGAACCAGCAGGGCATACGCGCAATTCATGAGGGAACTGCTGCGGACAATGGGGTTTCTGACAACGAAACGGAACCCACTACTCGGAGAGGAGACCATTTGTCCTATAAGCAGGTGTTGAAACTTGCGGATTATATTGCGAACAATTGGACTGGGAGAACTGCTGGTGTGATGTTGCTTGATAGCCCTCGGGCCAACACGTCCACACGCGTTCCTGGACTTATTCCAACTCTGGTTTCACGGGATTCAACTCCCATGAATTCGATAAAAACAGAGTTCAATGAAAGACTTGACGTGTTGCTGGGCAAATGGCGCAACTGAGAGATACGGCGATCCTGCAGGAGAAACATCTTGCTGAAAACTTGAAGAAGATGGAAACATCTTTCGAGAGCACGGTGAAACTGGTTGAGTCAGGCTGTTAGGCTGTCTCCTCCTCATATGGACAACCGTCCACGTGAACACGCTGAAGAAAGGAGAGAACCGTGTGAACAGCATAAGCCTCGCCCGGACGTGGCTTGTCATTTCTGTAACGGTCCCCACTATATCAGGGATTGCAGGAACAAGGACGAATTTATAACTCTGGGATGGGTTGAGGTTGAGGATGGGCAGCTTAGGCTGGGAACGGATGGTTGGATACCCAGGTATCCTGAAAACCTGAGTCATATTCAAAAGGTGGAGGAGCACTTCCAGAGACAGGGTGTCACCAGGGAGTCTGCCAAAGCCCAGTGGGCTGGAATGATGCAGAGTTTCTACTAGAGCGCTTCCTGGACTCAGGACGATGGGTATGGAAACGGGTATAACCGACAGGGTGGATCACCTGTATGATACGACTGAGGACAAGATTCGATCTGTAAAAATACAGCAGATGAGCTGCGCTCCCAGTCAGAATTATATGGCTCCGTCTCCTGTATTCCAGCAGAGCATTTCCGTTTCCGTCAACTGGGGGTGCACCCCTTGCTTCAAATAGCGGTGTTCAACCACCGCAACAGTTCTTGCAGGTCCACAAGGACAGTTCGCGAGTCCGCCTGTTCAGGCGAATAATGGGATCGACATTTCTCAGCTTATTCAGCTGTTTAATGCGGTTCGAGGCGAAGGAACTAGAGGTGTGGTTGACCAATTGGTAGCAACTAGAAGTGGGGCGAAGACAGATCCTCTGTCTAACCCAAATTTTTAGGCGGACCGATGAGGGAGGCTGGTGGCCGACCGAAAGCGAGACCACTAAAAGCAGCTAAAACCTCCTGAGGACCGTGTTTCTGCTGCTGATACGGAATTGGATTGGAGGCGAAAAGGCAAGAGGGTGGAATTCCTTCAGCCTGATGAGTTAGAAGAGGAAGAAGATGTTCCTAGAGCCCCTGCGAAGCGCGCAGACAGGCGTATAGTGTTGGATGACTCGGACGAGGAAGAGGAACCTCCGATGGGTTTCGAAAATTGAGACGGTCCACGGAGTTGAGCGGGGCATGTGGTAAATCCTGCACCGCTGTGTTCAGCTCTGCGTTTCAAGGAACCAGCAAAAGAGAAGGCGTATAAACTGGTTTCTAAGTTTGACGATGGAAACATTGTACAGAACTTAGTTAATCAAACCAGAAACATGGTGCTGGACGGTGTTACAGTCGGCATGATGACAGCCATGAACGGAGAATATGCCAAGGCACTGAGGGAGACGACATTGAAGGTGCGGAAACCGGTGAAACCCGTTATGATGGCTGGTTTCGCAGCGGAAGCACCTGGTCTTCCCTTCATGGAGGAAGATGGGCCCATACGACTGAACAGTGATGCAATATCGATAGACAGTCTGACGCCCATCGACTCTGTGTATATTTCCACAGAGAAGGATGTGGGTCTGGAACCCGGATGTGTGGTGGCACCAAATATTGTTCTACAATATTATTCTACCTTGGCACCAACCAGGCACCGAAACAGATCTACGCTGCTGTGGAACCAGCCAACCTGCGGGTTCTTTTCCCAGTGCTGGAAGGACGAGAGAAAGTGGAGAGCATTGTGGATCCTGGTTCAGAGATTGTTTCCATGGCTAAACGCGTGACGGTGATGCGCTGGTACAAACAATGCTAGAGATCCAGCTGCTGTACAAGCGAGTGGTTGAAGGCAGAGGTTGTGCAACAGCGTGGTACAAAGTGATGGTTGGATCCAGCTGCTGTATAAGCGAGTGGTCATAAACAACGATTGGCTGGTACCAACATCGGCACTTTAGCTCAGTGGTCTAGAGCACTTCTCTAGAAAGCAAGAGGTCCCGGGTTCGAATCCTGGAAGAGCCATCTTTTGGAACATTTCCACAGATTATTTCACTGTCGTTACATCTGGAGCCCACCGCCAAACATCTGGCCCAAACAAATGATGTTAACTCGCAAGGGGCGCAGTGGTAAACAAATGATCATGTGACTTGGAAAGAAAGATGCTGTCATCGTGAGATGACGGGGACGTCATCATTTCTCCTTGGGGGGAGATGATGTGCTGGTACAAACAATGCTAGAGATCCAGCTGCTGTATAAGCGAGTGGTTGAAGGCAGAGGTTGTGCAACAGCGTGGTACAAAGTGATGGTTGGATCCAGCTGCTGTATAAGCGAGTGGTCATAAACAACGATTGGCTGGTACCAACATCGGCACTTTAGCTCAGTGGTCTAGAGCACTTCTCTAGAAAGCAAGAGGGTCCCGGGTTCGAATCCTGGAAGAGCCATCTTTTGGAACATTTCCACAGATTATTTCACTGTCGTTACAACGGAACGGCTGGGTCTATCTTGGGACCCAGACATTACCATATTCATGCAAAGTGCGAACGCACAGCTGAAACAATCTGCGGGCTTGGCACGCAATGTTCGATTCACCTTTGGTGATATCCATGTGTACCTACAAGTCCACATCATAGAAACGACTGCATACGACATCCTGCTTGGTCAACCATTTGATATTTTGACTCACCCAAACATCCAGAACTTTAGTTCTGGCATGCAAACGATCACCATAACGGACCCAAATACTCAGAAATGGGTTTCCTTGCCTATGCTTATGCGAGGCAAGTTTCCTTCTAATATGAAAGAGAATCAGAGGGCTACCGTGGAAGAGGTTAGGGACGAAGATGAAGTTCCGAAACCGGCACGTACTGCTTCAGGTGCTGAAAAGGAAGCGGATTTTCAGGGCTCTTCGAGGAATTGATGGGAACGCATCAAGGAGCAGAGTTGGCTGTTCAGTTCGGTTTCAATAAGCAAGGAGAGTTGCAGGTGGAAGGCTATGTGGAACCAACAAATGGGGAGTTCGTAGCTGATGAACTGAGAACTGCCTATTTGTTACGGTCTCTGGACAGCCCGGAACTAGAGGAAGACGAAGTTGCGGTACAACTCCTACAAGGAGTTTTCTGGGACGTTCGTTAAGAAACAGAAGGAAAAACGGACCTATAAGGTCTACGCCCTAAATGAACAATTTCAGGTTTGGCTGGGGTCTGATTCTACGCACAAGAATCAGAAAGAGACTGGGAGGAGCACAAAGGAACATACGGTGGGCACTGGAGCTGAATGCTACATGTGTTTCCATGATGATCCTTCCTCGGAGCGAGTTGAGAAACTTGACAGTTCAGGAACACCAGTCCTGAACAGCTTCGCAGGGAAGAAATATAAACCTGTCGCGTTAAAAACACGACCAGTGTATGCGGAATTACCAGAAAGGTTCAGGATTATGTAAATGGCAGATAATTGGAGTTCTGAAGAAAGATGGGAAGAGTATCTGTCTGGTACATGCGTTGGAACCTTTGAATGCGGTTACCATAGCGCATTCTGGGTTACCACCAGCCACAGACGAGCTAGCAAGCCACTTCGCTGGAAGGGCATGCAGAGCTGTGTTTGACTTGTATTCTGGTTACGATCACAGGGATTTAGCTGAAGGGTCCCGGGATTACACTACGTTTCAGACGCCTTTTGGCGCCTTGAGATTAGTTAAACTTCCTCAGAGATGGACCAATTCGGTTCCCATATTCCACGATGACGTTACTTTCATACTACGGGAGGAAATTCCTCATGTTACTATTCCTTACATTGACGATGTTCCTATTCGGGGTCCTGGTAGCAGATACCAGGATAAGGGTGGAAACTATGAAGTTATACCTGAGAACTCAGGAATACGGTGTTTCATATGGGAACATTTCGTGAACTTGAACAGACTTGCCCAACGGTTGAAGTATAGTGGAGGCACTATCTCGGCGTTGAAGGTGATTCTGTGCAAAAATGAGTTTGCGGTAGTAGGCCATACTTGTTCGTTCGAGGGTCGGAAACTGACTACAGACCGAATTGGAGTCATTTTGAGATGGCCTCCCTTGGAGGACGTTTCTCAAGTGCGCCAGTTTCTGGGAGTAGTAGGGACCATGAGAATGTTCATTCGGTACTCCACGGTGCAGGCGAGGCATTTGACTAGACTGCTACAGGCAGAAGTTGAGTTCGAATGGAACGATGAAACCCAAGTGTCTATGGATGCGCTGAAAGAGGCGGTTAAAAACTGTGAAGCACTGAAACCACTCAACTATGAGTGGGATTCTGATCTAGTGCTGTCGGTGGATACATCTTGGATAGCGGTGGGAATAGAGGTTTATCAATTGGACCCTGTTAACCCAAAAATCCGGTACTATGCTAAGTTTGCATCGATCCCTCTAAACACTAGGGAGGCTCGTTTCTCTCAGCCTCAATGCGAGTTGTATGGCCTGAAATGTGCGCTCACGCATATGCAATATTGGCTGCTGGGTTGCCGGAAACTGGTTGTGGAAACGGATGCCATGTACATCGAAGGGATGCTAGACAACCCGGGAATGGGCCCCAACGCCACAATCAACCGGTGGATCGAGGAGATTCTAATGTTCCATTTTACGTTGAAACATGTGAAAGGACTTACGTTCTTGCCGGACGGTTTGTCAAGAAGGCTGAAACAGCCTGGTGATCCTGAATATCCGAGCCCAGAGGACGGTTTCGATGAGAATCCGTCTCCTGAGGAACATGAGGAGTGGGATCACAACATTGAGCAGCCTTATGAGTTCGATGACTTCAAGCGTGATATTGATACGCACAGAGGGTATCTCCAGACCATAGAGGAAGTCGAAGAGACAAGTGTGTTGAGGATGTTCCCTTGGATCAGTTTGAACAGTTGTGTTGGGATTCATACACGGAACACCGGAAAGACGCAGAACTGGTTAGAGAGGCTTTCAAGTCGAAAGGCTTAGAAATGCCCCAGTTCATTATGAGTCAAATCCGTGAAGAGGAACCGATGTTACCACCCGATGCGTTCAAGTTCGATCCGCAGAAACGGGAAGAATATTCTGAGAAACACAGGACAGAGTCTGGGAGAAACCAGGATGCGAAGCTGGACAAGCTTAAGGAATGGTTTAAGAAACCGGTCGCCAAACGGCCAGAAGGTTTTCTCAGACAAGCAATACCGTAACTTTATGGTGTATGCTAGGGTGTTTCTTCGTTGACAAGAAGGGGTGTCTATTCCGAAAAGGAGCCGATTCCGCACACAAACTGGTGGTGGATAAAGAACATCGCATGTACATGTTGAGGGCTTTGCATGATAGTCTGGGACACCGAGGTGCATTCGCGACTAAATCCTTGATCGAGCTACGTTTCTAGTGGCCAGAATTTGAGCATGATGTGGCTTGGTATATTAAAACCTGCCACATGTACCAAGTTCGACAAGAGGAGTGTTGCGAATACCGCCTGTTCCTACTATGACGCCCAGCCTGTTTCAGAAGGTCCACGTAGACGTCATGATTATGGGTGTTCCATCAAATGGACATCGATATGTTGTTTCTGCGCGGGACTCTCTCAGCCGTTGGTTGGAATCTAAAGGCCTAAGGTCTGAGAACGCCTCGGAACTGGGAAGGTTGCTTCTGGAAAACATTATCTGTAGATGGGGTTGTCCAAAGGAATCTGTGACCGATAATGCGCCACAGTTTCTGGCTGCAGTCGAATGGTTGAATTGTAAGTATGGAATCACGGGAATCCGTGTCTCGCCTTACAACTCAAAAGCCAATGGACCAGTAGAAACGGGTCACAAACATATGCACCAGATGGTGTACAAGGCCACGGGTGGAGATGTGCGAAAGTGGTTTTGGTTTCTGCCGCAGATAGTTTGGGCTGATAGGATAACAACGCGGAGAAGGTTGGGTTGCTCACCTTTCTTTGCGTCCACTGGGTGTCACCCCACTATACCTCTTGACGTTGTCGAGGCTACGTGGATGGTTGAGTACCCGGGCGAGATTATTTCTACTGCGGAACTAGTGGGGCTTAGAGCCAAAGCGCTGGCCAAGCATAGGCAGCACATTGAAGAAATGCGGGAACGGGTAGACGCTGAGAAACTGGATGCAGTGCAGTGTTATGCTTGGGAACACAAGGAAACGATTAAGGACTATGATTTCCAGCCAGGAGATATGGTGCTTATTTGAAACACGAGAGTAGAGAAGTCCCTGAACAAGAAACTTGAGCCAAGATACTTGGGTCCGATGGTTATTGTCAGGAGGACGAAAGGTGGCTCGTACATTGTCTGTGAAATGAACGGAGCAGTCTATCCTGGAAAGGTGAGCGTGTTCCGTGTTATTCCTTATTTTGTGCGCAAAGCTCTGGATAAGAAACACAAAATCGAGAGCTTGATTGACCTGTCCAAGGAGGAATTGGATGAGTTAGTTGCCAACAAGGAGAAAAAGGATGACGCCTTGGTCGTGACTTACAGTTCGATAATGTGGTCTTGAACCCTAACTGGGAAGAGGAAGATCCTGCGGACGTGAGCGATGAACCAGAGGAGGAGTACGTTCCTGATGTTGACCTTGATGAATGGGACTCTGAAGGAGACGGTCCGACGCGTTCTAAACGTGTTGGGAACTGAGTTCACACCGTGTTTCCAAGAAACGAGTTTCATTCTACACTATGGGCAAGGCTGTACATAGTGTCTACGAGGGGCATACATAGCGGTAGCGCGCAAGGAGTGTACTGGTTAAGAGAGGAAGGCATGGATTGGCTGGAAGGCCACGGAAACACGAGTCAAGTCTGGGAGAAAGGACTGGACGCCGCACATTGGCACGACTTGGGGATGTCTCAAATGTGGAAACATTCATTCAAGCGTTATATCCACGGCCACGAGCCCCACGTCCTCGACCACCATGTCCGCGATGAAAGGTAGTGTCGTATTTCTTGACATCGAGCTGGATGCGCACTGCGGTCTGGGACAAGTGGGTGTGAATAGCACAGTCCATACAAAGGAGGGCGTCGTTGGTGGTAGGGAAACTGGCCATGGTGCCAGTGATTCTGCCGGTATCCTGGAGGATAGCGAGGACGTCATCGTAGGAGAGATGGTCTGTCATGTGGGGCCTGGACACGACCGAGCCCATAGCCTGGCCAGAAATGTCAGTAGAGAAGGGGAAATGCGTTGTAGAAACATGCACCCTGGAAACTATGGAAATGGGCGTCTGGGAACCTTGGCCGCTGGCTGAAGTCGAGGACGTCTTCTGGAAACAGAGGTTGTTCTGAAGTTCAGTAAGACAGTGGTGCTTAAAGAAGCAGCTGGATAACTCACAGTACGTTTCTTGGCATGCGCCTTGTTGCCGGAGCTGGCCTTCTCATCGTAATAACGAGATCCCTGGAAACAGGTGAACGTGTTTCCATGAGGAAGGCAAAAGGAACATACGGGGGCAGGAGGGGGTATGTATTG